CTTATTCTATATATGTTTAATTTTTATCCAAAGCCATTAACAATTGAATTTTGCTCTTGGTCTCCGTAAGAAGTGTGCGCAATCTAAAGAAAACCCACATCAAAAGTAGACGCAACGGCATATGCTGCGTAAAATCCAAAAAATCTTTAACGGTATTTACAAATGTCGCCTTGTTCTGTCAGCACCCACTTTATTTGCCACATGTTGCACAAATTTTTCATTCATTATAAAATACAATAGCCACTTGACTGTTTATGTGTGTGTGCTAACAAGAATCAAGGCTGAGTGCCTTGATATTAAGTGCACAGGAGTGTCTAAGTCAAGTGGTAAGCACTTGTGTGGATTAACTTTTCAATGGGATTTGTTGCAGAATTCTAACTGTTTATGACATCTGAGAGTTGATAAAGGTACTATGTATTCACAGATAAGTGGTATATGTTTACCTACATTCAAATACATAAATTACGCACGACATAGTTACATACATACATACGCACTCGCAACGCACTCTCAAAATGCTTTTGAGCAATTATCTCCACTGATAAGTTGCATATTGGTTCTCTTACTGACTGCAGTCAGAAAACGATATGTTATTGCTATGATATTTATAATGAAGCACATTTTCTTGTTTTCATTTAGTTAAAGCTCCTTGTTGGTCACCTTTGCTGCTGAGCTCACTCAAATATTTCATATAAATTTCTATTGAGGTTATGACCAGCAATAACTTTTCCCATAAAAATTCTCCATAAAATGAAAAATACACTATAAAAGCGTGGAATGCAAAGAGACATAAAGTTGCCATGAAGAAACAAAAGAGAATCTTTTTATTTATTCAACATAAAAAACACTTTAAAATAGTAGTTAAAAAAACAAGCACCATAGAGAATTTCAACATAACATCCATCGTCCTGAGCTACTTCCTCTTATAACAATTTTTAACATATACTAAATATAACAGGGCAAAAACAAACATAAGCAATTTAGGCAATATAAGAGCAACAATTAAATGAAAGTTTTTCAGAAAAAAGGCAAAGCCAATTAACTTAAATCAAGATGAAAAAAAAAATAAGACATAATGAGCTAAAATAAAATAAAATAAAATAAAATAAAATAAAATAAAATAAAATAAAATAAAATAAAATAAAATAAAATAAAATAAAATAAAATAAAATAAAATAATATAAACAAAAACAAAATGAAGTAAAATAAAATAGGTTTAGGCAATATGACTTAAAATAAATTTACATTTAACTAAAATAAATTATATAATGAACAAATTTAACTTGATATTAAACTGATATTAAATTAAATAAAATTTCAAATAAAAAAGAATAAGGCGAAACAAAAAAATTTAATGAAACGAATTGAAGAATCACCCGTACATGTGACAGAGGCGTAACTTTTCAGACATTCGATTTCCCCATTCAAAAAGATTAACATTTTCGAAACAATTTAATTGCTGCTTGAAATGAAAGATATACAAATTCAAAATTTCATTACTGTTCTCCGAAAATCTGGAAAATGTTTCACTTTAGAATATACATTCATTAAAAATATATGCAAACAACTAAGCACGAGGGTAGTTTGAAATATCGTTGAATAAAGAGGATGTAGCCTTAAAAAGTACTTGTTCGCACCGGAAGCGCGGTGCAGAAAAATTGAAAATTTTCTGAGTAGGAAAAAAATCCGAATTAAGTTGCAAAATTTGTTTGTTTGTGTACGTACGCGGCGTGACCACATCTACACAATTTTTCAGGTTTCGATTAATTACTCCAATTAAATTTAAATATGTCATATTGAAAAAAATCTATATATTTTAATCCACTTACAACAATCTTTGTGGATCTCTCCTCGTACTTGTACGAATTGGCCCTTGAAAATATTTCCGTCATCTGCGAATCGCTTTTGGTAGTATGAGATGCTCCCGTACTCATTACGGATATGCACACTTAAATACGTTTCCTTATCACTTATATATGTTTATACTTTTTCCACTTAACAACTTTTTCGTATATAACAAACATACAGCAAAACATATGTACGGTTGAAGGCATGCTGCGTTTTTCTTTTACCAATTTTCAGTCTTTATTATTTACAAATGTATTAATTGAAATTCCTTGAGCTTTTGTTTTTTTGTCTCATTTATTTGGTTGGCTACATACCGTTATTTACAAAGCCACAATATATGTATTTATGTAAATAATATGTGCGTTTGTTAATATGCCCCAAATAACGCAACGCCTGCATGCTGAGACGATAAATCAGACATTATTCGACATTCATTTCATTTTCAATAAATGCTCAAAAATAATCCAATATGAATAAATGTGAGATGTTGAAAGCGATTTTACTCAATGGGCATATTTATTAATATGAAATGTTTCTGTTTGGCATATCCCTGCAAACAATGAGAGTACTCGAAAACGGGTGAAGTATATACACCACGCGGACAATGGAGTAATCCAAAACTGTCGACAATCCATACAAAAAATAATGAAGTCCAATTAACATTGCGATGTGCTAGGGATGGACTACAGATTCCACCGCTATATAACATCATAGTAATTCATGAAGTGCGTATAGTGGGTTATACTATGGAGTATATACGAAAAACTTCATTCGAACATACTTTTCCAAAATAATCCGTTTTATTAAACATTTAGTAAAAATTTGTATACAAACCAATAAATTATTACTAATCCATTACTAATAAACATATTTAAATTTGCCTACCGATTATTTTTGGACTGGAACCTATTAGCTCCAACTTCTGCATGTCGTCTACACACCAACATAGCTCAACCAGGAAACGAAACGTTCAGTCTCAAACACTTCTGTATTCGAGCACAAATCTCGATGCGTACTACATACTTCGTTTAGCAACACAATCAATCATTGACTAACACCAGAGTAGTAGCCACACATGAGTTGATCCAATAGCAGTTTACAGAGAAGCACATATTGGATTACTTCAATGGCCCATATACATAGTCGCAAAATGTTTGCTGGGATATTTATAGAAATGTATGCAATTTGTTGTATGTGTGCAGTTGGTGTATGAGTGTGGCGGGTTTATAGGGGCCGCACCATAAGTTTTTGCACTTTTGTATGACCGAAATTTGTTCATATGTATGTTTGAAAGTGTGTATGGTTTTAAGTTGAAAAATAAATAATGAATTTGAATGCTTTACATATTTATTTATTCACGAAAAAGCACATAAATTTGAATAGTGGTGGGGTACTAGATCATTACACCCGATTTCAGTTGGCACATCGTGCCGTTAACCTTTTCCGAGGTAATTGGCATCACCACAAAGGGTTCCTGCCATTGAATAAGAAATATTTATAAAAAAGTTAAGAAATAAATACTTAAAATGCCATTAACCCCATGGCAACGGAAATTTGACTTTTACATTATGCATATGTTTTCCAAAAAATAGCGATGAGGATAAAATCTTAAAAATAATTTGATAACAGTTACGGAAATATGCATTAATTTTCTTTGAATACACATACCATACAAAATAAAATTAGAAATATGCTAAAATAAAACAGAATGAAGTAAAACTGAATTAAATTATATTGAAATAGTATAAAGTACAGTAAAATAAAATAAAATAAATTAAATAAAGATACAATGGAATAAAATAAATAAAAAAATTTAAACAAAATAATATAAAAGAATAAATAAATTAAAATAAAATCATTAAAATAAAATAAAATAAAATAAAATAAAATAAAATAAGATAAAATAAAATAAAATAAAATAAAATAAAATAAAATCAAATAAAATAAAATAAAATAAATTAAGATCAAATAAAATATTATTAAACTAAATAAAATAAGACTCAATATTAAATCAAATAAAGTAAATAAAAATAAAATAAAAAATAATGAACATAAACCTAGTCTTAATTAAATCAAATTAAAGTAAATTACTTATATACTTGGCACTTTGTAAACGCCAGAACGATTTTTGGCCTAGCAATTTATGGTTTTGCGTCTTGATTTTTCTCCAACAAATGGAGAGATTCGCAATTTATACCAAGCCGCCTCCGAACGGCTGATGGTTTATTTATGAGGAGCTTTATTTCATGTCAGAAATAATAAGGGTTTGACATTCTATGCAGAGGTGCGACCGCAGTTAGAAAATTTAGTTTAATTTTTTATTTAAATCCTTAACTTTTTGGATGTTTGGATTTGAACCCGAGCCATTCAAACGGTAGTGCGCAATGCTAACCACTCGGCTACCGCGGCCGCCATAAACAAAGCAATTTAAGTTATATTAAATTAAATTAAGTTAAAATAAAACAAAAGAAATTAAAATAAAAGAAAATAGAATAAAATAACGTAAAATAAGATAAATTTAAATGAAATCAAGAAATTAAAAAAAAGAAATAAAATAAAATAAAATAAAATAAAATAACGTAAAATAAAATGAAATAAAAAAATTAAAAAAAAAATTAATAATGTAAAAATTAAATCAAAAGAAAATAAAATAGATTAATTAAATTAATTAAAATTAAATAAAATATTTGAAATTAAAATAAAATAACTGAATATAAAATAAAATTAATAAAATAAAACAAAATAAAATATAATAAAATAAAGTTAAATAAAATAAAAAATAAATACAAATTAAATAAAATGGAACATACGAAAAATAAGACCAAATGAAATGAAATAAAAGAGTGAAATGAAATAAAATGAGCTAAAAAAATTATTTAAAATATAAAAACAAATAATCAAAAAAAAATTATAACATAACATAAAATAAAAGAATAATTTTTCGATATGAGCCAATAGAGTTTGTAATGATTTTCGCGAGCAATTGTTATATGTATTATTCAAACTATAATAACCAAAATAGTTTTGTTTTCCATTTGCTTATTTCAATAATTTTATATATTTATTTTTTGACGCTCTTAATTAGCCTTAAATTGCTTTCTTGCTGCCAAATTTCCTGAAATAAATTGATTTATGTAATAATTTAATTACAGGACTCGGGCACAGGCACACCCGTCACTATGCGTGTGGATCCCAAAGGATTCTATTTATATTGGATTGATCAAAACAACGAGATGGATATACTTGACATAGCGACCATTCGGGATACGCGTACAGGAGCTTTTGCCAAAAAACCAAAAGTGAGTAAAAATAACTGAATTTATTCCGTGAGATATAATAGCTCTTCTTTAAAATTAAGTTCAGTTGAGTAGTTTTGTTAGTATAACACAATATAAGAGTATTCCTATTCTCTTGCGCATTATTTGAGTGTGTGGTGCTTATGATTCGAACACTAAATTGGCTTGTATGTGTAAGAGACAATCTATTGACTGCCAAAATTGATTAAATTTGCCACATCAAACGCGCTGACAAAGACATTAAACGACAAAGGAAGGAGATTATTGATAAATTGTATTGTGTGGTGTTATTTAATTGCCTTTATTTCTCAAATATTGAGCCCCCAAAGTAATTTCTAATTTCTGTTGACAACAAAGCAATAATAATACTATTAAGCGCGGAATAGGCTAATTTTAAGTATCTTATTTTATTGTTGCTATAAACGAAATTAGTTTTAATGGTATTTTGATAGGTTATGTTAACCTTAAAGGGGTTTGGTTGAAAAAGTTTGGTTATTATTTTCCAATTAAATGCAATGAATTATCATCTATGATTATTTTAGTTTTCAGAAGACAAAGAAAACCAAAATATTGTAATTACCTAAGGCAATAACTCGATGACGCAACTCGGAAATATGTACAATTTCCAAGATGAATCTTTATTGTCTGATTATTACCTTATGAAAAACTCGAAGACTGAACGAGAATATGTGTTCTGTGATAACACAATTTGAGTACCATAGGTGCTATAGTTCTAGTCTGCATAGGCTGCAAAACTGAATTTTTCGTTCCAAGTGTGAATGTAAACGCCACAAATCGTGAGAGTAAATGTTTCCCAGATTCTATACTTTCTGGTGAAAAAGAGAAGTTATGCGGGTTGCAAAAATAATTGTAAAATATGTATCAAATTTCATGAGATCGCAAGATGAATCGATTTAACCATATTTGGTTGTCTTTATCCCTATCTGTCCGAATCTACGACTGCCCGTCCGTTCGCCCGCATGCAAAATAACTCAACTTTTGTTAAGCACAATTAGTAGCTCCATGCACTTAAAGTAATGTTTTTTAAGAACAGTTGCATTAAATGGAGAAGTATTGAGGATGGGCAAAATATCAACTTTTTGAATTTTTTTTTTTTTGGTTCAGAAAGTATATTTCAGAAACTACTGGAAGCTGCTCGGAACTCAATGAAATTCAATATCAATAATTTTCATTATCTAGTAAGATCACAAGTTAGATAATCGGGCAATCTGACGGCAATTAAGCCTTAGTCTCATTGAAAATAGATTTTACCTTCCAACCTCCGCTTGACTAAAGATCACAGGTATCAAGGCAATGGTCAACAGCAATGAACCAAGCTTCAAAGCTGCCAATGTTGGGACTTATGTAGCCTCGGAAAGAGACGTACTACCTATGCAACTGACCTTCTATTAATTTCATTTGACCTAAAGAGCGATTTTATAAGAGATTTTGGAAAGTTTAAAAAAAACACACAAAATTTAAATATATGCAAGAAATCTTTATTTAAGTCGATAGAACGGTCCATATAAATTAATTTTTGAAGATTATTTCATGCAAATGTTGACCGTGGCTGCTCCTCAAATGGTTCATCCGCTTAGTCCAATTTTGGCGTACTCTTTCCAACATTTCGGCCGGCATCTCAAGAATAAATGCTTCAAGGTTTTCCCCCAATGCGCCAAATGAAGCCGGATTGTCTGTTTAGACATTATATTTAACATAGCTCCCCAAAAGAAAATGTCTAGTGGCGTGAAATCGCTCGATCTAGGCAGCCAATTGACCGGTCCCGAACATGAAATGAAATACTCACTGAACTCGCCTATTATTACGCGCGCTGTGTGGCATGTGGCACCGTATTGTTGAAACCACATGTCGTACAAGTTAAGCTCTTGCATTTCTGGCAAAAAAAAGTTTGATATCATCTCAAGGTAGCGCCGAGCGTTCACAGTTACCTTACGATTCGCATCATCTTTGAAGAAGTACGGTCCAATGATGCCACCGGGCCATAAACCGCACCAAACTGTGACTGTTTCGGGATGCACTGGTAGCCTTTGCAATGCAAATTTTGCTTGTTTACGCAGCCATTAAGCCAAAAAAAACTTCGTCGCTGAACAAGAAGAAGCGCGCGATGAACTTTCTTAACAGAGCTCGCATTTTGATAATAAAATTCAATAATTTGCAAGTGTTTTTTGTTTGTTAGACAATTTATGGTTAAATTATAGACCAAACTGAAGATGTTTGACAGTGATACAAAACACGAAACGTGCGTCAGGTTTTTAAACTAGTGTTGACAAAAAGATAATGGGTAAAAAATCACCCTTTATTTGTAGACTTAAGATCTATTTGGTTCCACTTGAACCTTGATTTCCTTGCTTTTTCTTTGTTTGTATGTATGGACATGCAGCAATGAATGACTGGAATCGAAAACATTTTGCTTTTATTTTCAGCTTATATTTTCAGCTTTTATTGTATTAAACTATAAAATTATTCAATGACGCTGCCTACAAAGTAACCAAGAAACAAAATTTATTTAGTCGCCTCTTAAATATATACACAAATGGGCATAGAAACAGCAGTTAATAGCAAGAAAAATAGCAGACGTAATGACATACATACACACAGGCACATATATATATACGAATAGCTCCAATATGTACAGTACGTGTATAATTGCAAATATGTACCTAAGTGAGGTATTTATTTGCTTGGCGCACTCGACTCGACTCGACTCGACTGGACGCCCGACTGGCAGCAGCCATTTAACTATAAATAAATCATTAGTAAATAGCATTTTTCGCTTTTTTAATTTAGTTGGAACACTTCTAGTGTTACACTAGCAAAACTCTCTATGCAATGCCAAGCAAAAACATTAATATTAACATATACACGTGTATATACATATATATGTATGAACTCCCACACTGAGCAAAACAAATAAATATACATAACTGTAAACAAATTTCCAAAAACATATTGAAAATTCCATGAACGAAACGAAAATTCATTAAAATTTTATATATTTTAACATCCGGTGGCGAAATAATGAAAGCGAAATTTCGCCAACTCGTAAATATATGTGCGTACATACATGCATACCCGTGCATATAACTGTATATGTATAAACATACAATATATACATTGTTGGTGATTAATTACATAATGACATTAAATACGAGTATAAATAAAATCTCAATGGGCGTACATTAAATGTAAATAACGATAGATACCTATTTGTGCACTATGTGCCGTTATGTTATTGTTGTAAATATTACATTTTGTTTATAATTAATTTACAACTCAATTCACTGCGTAATATCTTAATGGAAAATTCTATATGTATAATATTAATAAAACATTTAGTCTTTCAACACGATGTGCGAATGTTGTGGTGGGTGGCTGAGTGGTTATGATGTGTAGGTATGTGTGGAAAGGAATTCATGTTAAAGCCTTAAATGAATTAAATAAAATAATAATTAATTTCAAATGGTAAACATAATAAAACTAAATAATAAAAACACGGCTTTCCAATATGATGTGTTATTGTAATATTCGAAAAAATTGGCATTTCTTGAGATAAATGATCGGTTATTTATTCAAATATAAAGAGGTTGATAGGACATTAATAAGCCAATTGGTCGCCTTCGATATGATATATTCGATTACATACCGTATCCTTTTTATGAAATTTTCCCTCACCAAATAGCGAAGCGGCTGCTGTACACCCTCAATAACAGCACGAGTTTGAACCGACTTAGGCCCGCTGGCGTAGATCTTATCTTTCACCTGAACCCAAAGAAAGAGGTCGCGAGGTGCTAAAAATATTACAAAATCTCGATGGCCAATTGCGATCACCTCTTCGAGAGATAACACGGAGCGGATATTTTCCGTTTAAAGATCGATGGTTTCCATACTATTCCGACTATAAAAAATCAATAACCATATCTCGATATGGCAATGAATGTATTGTAATTGAAGATAAAGTCTATTTTTCGAGAAAGTAAATTCCAATGAGCCATGAAACAATAAACCGCACCAAACAGTATCCTGAGCGAATAACTCTCTTATATTGATCGTACAAGTAGAGATCGGCATGCCCAAACTCTTCCATGATGGAATCTTCGCTTATATACTGTGAAACAATTTACTTTCTCGAGAAAGGAACGAATTTTAAGCTGGCTTAGAGTGCTCTGAGAGTGTTAAAGTTTTAGACAGTGCAATGCTCTCTTTTTCTTTTAGCTCAGACCAAAAAAGCATCAACGCAACTGATATGATTTGTTTCATGAGAGTGTTATATAAATAAAAAGCTTTATCACTGCTTTGCGCTACCGATACTGTACATTTTTAGAGAGTTCACTTTCCGGAAGAAAGAGTGTTCTTCATGACCTCTGAACCAAATTTCCTGTAAATCGAATGACTTAAAAATAAACTTAATTTTCTGTGTCAGTTTCACCTCCCGGAAAATGATTTCTTATCGGATGTCCACGTCATACGCAGAACAGTTTGAGGTCTGTATGATCCGTGGCTTAGGCTGTGGGTTGATCCATTGGTCAATCATTTTATATATAAAAAAAGATAAATTAATTAACCTGAACTGGTGAATCAACTATAAATTCCTACAACCTTAGTATATAAATTAATAAATTACCTATATATGTATATATACAAATATATAAATATATATATACATTAGCGCTATTAAACCGCTGAAGCGATTTTCGACTGAGCTCCTCCTCAAATTTGTGGTTTTGCGTCTTGATGTTTTTCCAACAAATGGAGGGACCAACATTTTATACTAAGCCGCCTCCGAACGGCTGAACAATCTTTATGAGGAGCCTTTTTTCATGTCCGACATACACTAGAAGGGGTGGACATTCCCTGCGAGGGCAACCGCAATTATTATAGAAAATAACTTAATTTTTTATTTATGTTAATTTTCTATAACTTTTGGATGTTGGTCGTACGGGTATTTGAACTCGAGCCTTCCGAATGTTAGTAAGCAATGCTAA